TTCGATATCAGTTTTGGTTCCTGTTCAGCTACTGTACCCCGCAAAGAAGACCATATTTCGTTTTCGCTGCGCAATTGCGTACGAAACACAACCCGGCTAAATGGGTGCTCGCGGGTGTAGCTATGATTCTCGATATCGGTGTAGCCGTTTGAGATCAGTGATGGCATGCTTGCAGTTGGAGTGAGTTGTTGTTGATGATAATGATAACGTATTTATTGTGTTGGCATCAGTGATCTTTACGACGGGATGAAAATTGAGCAGATCCGGTAGAGCTGTATACTTGCATACAGGTATTGATATCGTTGACATTCAACTCAGAAGGTTAATTTGGTATCAAATCGTTCTACGCACCTTGAGTATGGGAACCCAGAAACGAAACTCCGGGAAAGAGGCATGTTAGACAGGATAATTGGCTGGAATGAAAACATTTAACCACGAGGTCGACATGGAAGCCAACTATGAAAAGAACTACTGCGTGATTTTCTATCGAGCGCAGTGCTTCAGCCGAGCTAGCTGAGCCACATACTCGTGCTGGATTATTCGCGCAGGTTGAGCTAAGCTCCATTACTAGCCTAGAATATTTCAACTGGTTGAAAATATTTGAGACTATCGGTGGTCGGTTCAATTTCTTTCAGTTTTCTGTATTATTCGTTTCAATGGCTGGTTATTATTCATGGTCATAAGGGAGGGGTAAAGCAGTCAAGGGCAAAGGCAGGCGTTCCGCAAAGGTTGGAAACACCAGTGGACTCGACAACAAAACTGGGGACCCTTCCGCCGGGATGGAAACGATAACGATGGTTACTTTCTGAATCACCAAGTGATGCAAGACCTCAAACCCTACAACCAGAATCTTGTTAGAGAGACTGGTCGGTTAGGTAAGATTGGTCTTTTTTGACTTGTGTTTTTCAGGTGGAGTATCAGCTCTTACCCATCAAGCTATGAGCAATACCTCTGCCGCTCTTATTATAAGAGCGGCAGTCAGGGCTGGGACTCATAGGGAGTGTAGTGGTAGTAGGGCTAGGACTCATAGTAGGCGGTGGCAACATGACAAGCACAGTGTATTACTTCAGATATTCGGGGAACTCAGTCCCACCGGGCTAGAGCTGAATCTCCGCTGGGACCGAGCCTCCTCAAGGAACGCACTAGACTGTACTGCTGGGTACATATGCTACGAGCCGTGCGTGGGTGGCTGCCTTCTCATATAAACAAAACTACAGAGGGATCGGTCGAAGCGGCGGGAGAGAAACGAGGAGATTTTTACCGCGACTTGAAGGCCCTCCACTGCTGTGGCAGCGATGATCTCTTCGAGGACGGCGTCAGGCTGTTGAAATCGAAATGGTCCACCGCATATCCCTTACTCTGGAAGTCGTTCGAATCAACCTGGGTGAGACAAGCCGGTACGTGGTACGTTGGATGTCATGCGATTCCCGGCTTCGTACCACGGCACACTGTGCCGTAGAGGGAGTCAATTCAAGTGTGAAAGAAGGCACGTGAAAGGGAGGAGGCATTACCGAGTGTCACCGGATTTCACCGATGTCACCGAATGAAAAGTAGTGCAAGTGCATGTAAATAATAGGAAACGACGCCGCGCGAAGCGCGGCATCAAGAATATAATGGTTGTTATGGTGTAGTGGTAAGTGCATGCGTATGGCATGCTAACGAGCCAGGTTCAACCCTTAGATAACTCGTAATCTTTTTGTATTTGTTCATTATAATCTTATTACGTGCTCTTTTCTTCCTCTTGCGTCTTGCGTTTATCAAGTAGTGTTAGTCTTTAAATTCAACTCTGGCTCCAGTGATCCTCTAACTATTTACACTTAACCAGGGGAACTTTGATAGAGTTAGTCGACTAGGTGGTGTGGAGAGGACCGAAGACTTGCAGGGCTCCCCCCTGAAGCTTCGGTCACGGGACAGGTGCCCGACTAGGTGGTGTCGTATCAACGACTCACGTCTCACACGGGTCTGTCCCGTCACCCAAATCTCTCCACTATCCACCGAACTCTTGGCTTTACCAGAAACTTCGATGACACAATCGATTCATGTTTTTTTTATCCCCTCCTTTCGCTGTAGTCCTTATTACCTATTGACTATTTTTTTTCTTCTTCTGTTGTGTCCCTCGTGCAGCGCATCAAGGCTCCTTTGGCGTAGCCTTGCCAGGCTCTACTCGATTGACTCGAACCGCCTTCACACTTCACTGTGCTATCCTCGCATCCCGAATCTACCAGAATTGTGGCTCCACTATGCTATAGCTATGTCAGCTATAGGATTTATACCTGTTAGGGCTTTAACTGCCTCGTCCGGTAGAACTCCTGCATTTCCCGGAGGCTTGGATCTATGCGCTAAACGATTTTGGCCTCCTTTATTTCCTCTCTCAACGATGGTCATCTCTTCTAGGGTGAAACTTACTCATGAACGCACCTCCATAGTCGTCTTTATCGCGCTAACATACTCCCGCAATGCTTCTGGAGAGATATTGGCTTGGTCAA